TACCTTGGAATCTAATTGAATGAACAATAATATTAGTAATGTTAGTCATGCAATAAAAGTTAGAATAGTGATAGCTCAGAGTAGCTTCCTTAAGGCTAGGATTAAGGGGGTAAAAGCATTTTAAACTACTCTCTTGAAAAATTTAAATATATTTTACATATAAAAATGTAAAAAAGATGTCTGAGCTGTTGGATATTTCACCAAAGAATTCATAATTGCTTCAAGCTAAACCTCAACTAATTTGGGTTTCATCACATTCTCACTACTTATTTAAATATTTCAAACGGATATGAATTCTTAGAGGCACAAGTACCTGAGTTAAAATGTACATCACCTGAAACCTTTCCCAGGTACATCAATTACAATTAAAGAGTAATAAGAATGCCAAAATTGACTTCTCAGGCACTTTCATACAGAGTTTTTGGCATTTAATATTAAACCCATTAATTGTAACTACTCTTTAAAAAAATTGTGTGTGATCTTTCAGGTACTGCACAAATTAATTTATTGCTTTTGCAGCCTTGCCAGTCTTTGTTAATTGAAGTACTTGGATTATTTATCTCTAGTGAAGATACGTTAGGAAAGCCCAGAACAAGGCCACAAAGGGCCACTGCTTCATATCACTAAGACGGTTTGGCACCTTAAGAAAAATGTTTCCAATGCCCTAATCAAAATTGATTTACAAAATGGGCTATAATTGTTTTTGAAAAGACATGGGTTTTTTTCCAATGCTTTTCTAAAATTGGTTTTCTTTGCTGCTGCTCATACCTGTTGCCTAACATTGCAATGGCATGCAAGTCTACTAAGAAATGAGTCAACATGCAAAGTGGCAGTTGGCCTTAAGAGCACCCTAAATTAAACAAGTGTAATCTCACAGCTAAATCAAAGGATCACTTGTCTCTGCATCAGAGGGTCCTTTGCTGCAGAAAACAACCCTCTCTCTGAAAGCAATACTCTTCAATTGGGGAGCTGTCCAGCTTCTCTCTAGTCTAAATGTAAAGGATCATAAGAAGGAAGGAACAAGGACTTTGAAATACTGTAATCCATCAGCAATTATCACCTAGACAACAGAAGAGCAGGCATACAGGTTACATGGTCAATTTTCTTAGCTGTCAGAAAATGTTCAAATCTGTTGCAGTGAAAATGAAAAATCTTACAGCACTGTTGCATTCAACGAAGTAAACTCGGTAGACTTTAAGGTGCTGCAAACACAGCAATTATTCCTAAGTAGGCATTTACACATTAAAATTATCAAACTCATATTTGAATATTTATTTTGATATTACCTTTCTGGCCACCCTGTTTGTACATTATCATCTTGGGAGATCCTCTTCCACTGTGTCATCTAAAGCAGTGGTCCCCAGCCTTGGGCCTCCAGATGTTCTTGGACATCAACTCCCAGAAATCCTGCCCAGCAGAGTTGGTGGTGAAGGTTTCTGGAAGCTGTAGTCCAAGAACATCTGGAGGCCCAAAGTTGGGATCCACTGATCTAAAGTGAGGAGGGTGGCATGAGGAAAAGGCACCAGGTGAGGGAAATGTGGTGTAAAGCTTGAAACATCAATAATAAATGAATTAATTTTCCATATTCTATGGTTTAAACCTGATAAACCTGACCTCAGATTAAGTCATCATTTGTTATAATGAAAAGCCATAGTAATACTGGAAGCCAAATACACTTCATTATCCTCCTGTCTGTTTCTGATTGTTAGGAGCTGAAAGTGGGAAAAACTAGCAGGGAAGACATGAAGCAGTATGTACCAAGGATCCTGTTTACAAATCCTATTACAGTGGGCCACCACACAGGTAATGGCTGCAGCTATTTTGTACCTGGAATTGCTCCCCCTTTTTCAGATTCAGATGACTAGCTTTGAATGACTTAGCAATTTTGATTTGATTCTAAAAATCAGTGCACTGGCTAATAACCAGTTTCCAGGCTCAAATCAAAGTATTTCTGTTGCCATTAAAATCCTGTACCATTCAATACATGGAACCTTATGGAGTACCAGTCTCATTCCAGCCTGTAGGCAGCTTGTGATTAGAGTGGAGAGGGCCCCAACCTGTTGAGATTTTGGGGTGCGGTGTCCTCTTGCTTGCTTGATGAACCATCCCTTTTCACATTTCCTCATTGCCTCTTCCATCATTTGGAGAGATTCACTTCCATGAGATACCTTCTGTATATGAAGGCAGATCTCTTAAGATGCAGAATACAGTCTCCTCAGCAAAGGCACCAATTCAATATGGTAATTTGTTCAGATAATTGTATTAAATTAATTCATTACATTCTGCCACTAGGGCAAGACTTTTGTTTGCCTTTTTAAATAGACCATGGGTGCACTGAACTTGCTGCTGTTTGTTTTAGGCTTCTTTAGCTTCAATCTTTCACCGTGCAATATGTTTAGTTTACAATGTTAAATCTTTATATGCTGCTTTGTCAAATTTATTGAAAAAGGATTCTATCACAGATATTAACTTCCTCCATCCTTGTACAAGTCCAAAATTGCCTAGATATGAATGGCCAAGACTAAACATATCAAGATTGGCATGAAAAAATGTTGAAAATTAATTAATGTAAAAAGGGGATTTAAGTTTATTTATTCAAACCATGGTCAAGTTTACTAATTTCAGTTGTCTCTAGAATTCAGAGGTAAGGTGAGAATGTTAAATGGAATTCTGACTCTGCTGGATTTTATGAAAAGTTTGTCAATGCAACTACCTCAGTGCCAGCTAAGATTCTGCTGACTTGTTAGCATCTGGTGGTGTTGTTGGTTGTTGTTGTTGTTTTTTTTGTGAGTGAACGTAGCAAATGGGCTATGTTAATTAATTAACTTCAGTTAATTAACATTAATGGCAATCAGTCATCTAAACCTCTTAGCAGTAACCACAGCTTGTACTTTTGTTTAATGTTATTATCTCTATTAATTTATTTGATGCAATCCTCAAATAATATTTTAAATTGAGTTCTCAGTGCTGAATGTACTTAATCACCAATAAATGACATTCAGCTGAACAGATTATGGGACTTGTTAACAAAAGGGCACTTCAAAATGTAAAGGCTTTAAATGAAGAATGCAAAACCAAAATCACATGTGGCTTTATCTTCCTTGTTTATCAGGGTTCCTGTTCCCTGAATGCGTTTTTCACTAAAGGCAATTTGCCCTGAGCTTTAATTATACTATGGAGCAAGAGTCCAAATAAATGAATAAAGAAATATCACCTTTACGTGTTAATATATGCACTTTCAGCACTATGTGATATGTCAGCATGGTTAAACTTTTGTTTAGTGTTCATGAATCTTACAGAAAGCTCAGAGCACCATTCATCTGATGATCTAATAAATTGTCCTAATAAAACTTATCAGCTGCATTAATCAGAATGTAAAATGACCACTGTGCTCAGTATTCCTTGATTCTTGAATATATTTTTCAAAAAGTGTTGAATGAAAATTTATTAAAACAATTAAACTTGTCATTAACTGTCAAACTCTATGCCTGCAGTTTAAACAGCTACTGGGCTATAACGGCAAAATGTTATTCTTGAGAAGTGTTACATTGCACTCATAAATTACCACTCAGTAGTCCATTAATTCCAACAACAAAGGGTCCTGTGACTCGTTACAATCTAACAAATTTATTACAGCATGGGTTTTTGTGGATGATCGCTTGCCCATCAGACACGTGAGAAAAGAGGCTTTGTTTCTATTACTGCTTAACTCCCATTGCCATTTGAGCAGCTGATTGCTCTGGCATGGGCACCATAATGAGTAAGAGACCAAAACCAGAATTAAATGTAGGCTTTCTCCGGAAAAACAGATGTTTGGAGCGCTGCTTGCATAAACACAAAGTAGTGATTGGTTCTTTGTGTTGTATAAACACAAAGTAGTAATTGCACCCACATTTAATGGTGGTGGGTCTTTTTTAGTGAAATAAGTGATGTAGGAAACATAGGGGGGCATTTGTGCAGCTCTCTGAGCTCTGGGGTGTGTGTCAGGGAGCTTTAGATCTCTTGAACTTGCACACTTCAGTTTTAAACTGAGAATCAGTATGATGTAGTAGTGGTTGGGTGGGGAGACGGTTTCAGCCTTCTCTTTCCTTTTTCACAATGCAGCAACCAAAGATAGTCATAAAATGATTTTTAAAAGATACTTAAGTTATAATAGTGCATTGCACTTAAATGTATAATAACAGAGGACTCTTAGAACAATTAAACATTTCCAAAGAAAGAAAGGTTTTACAGCCCATTCAGTTGCCAAAACACTGCCTGAGCAGAAAGCTCTTTGCTTGCCAGTGCTCTAGGCTGATATAGACATGGCTGCAATAATGGAGAGTAGGCCAAAGAGAACCAAACCCAATCATAGGTTGTTTGTTTTTACTGATCTTTTGTTGTAACCACCCACCGAGAGTCCAGGAGTACTCCCTAAATTTGAACTAAATTGCTTAACACCAAGGAAGTGTCAACAAATTACAAGATAGAGTTACAGAAAATACAGCAGGAAGGAGGGCGAAGTTAACTTAAAATGGAAGGGGATCCCACAGTCTGGAAGCTCTATCTCATGTCTATCATACGCACCTGTGAAGGTGGTGAACCCTAGAAGAGTCTCCGGTGAATATGATAAAAGCTTATATGGGTAAGCTTACATGAGGAGATGCAGTCCTTCAGATGGCCTTGATTCAAATCTTACTGGGCTTCATCAGTCATAGCACTTTTTCTTGATGAACGCTCTTGTTCATTAAGCTTCCTGCATGACCTTTGGTTCGTCATTATCTCTTGGTCAATTGAGCCTATTATTTATTTATTTAAAATATTTATATACTGCCGTTCTCCTAAAAAGGACCCAAAGCAGCTTACAATATTAAAAATTGTAGAAGTTAAAAGAATAAATTATTACAATATTTAAGAAAGAATTAAACAAATAGAATATTAAACTAATCAATAAACAGTAGTAAAAATACATTTAAAAGAACAACAATAATAACACAAGTCCAATAAAAAAAAACACATACCTTTCTCAAATAGCCAATTACTGAAAGAAAGCTTGCCTGAAGAGAAAGGTCTATTTGCCTGCTTGCAGAAGGACAGCCAAGATGGGGTCAGCCTGGCCTCCTATAGAAAGGAGTTCCAGAGTATGAAAAAGTGACAGAGAAGTCTCTTTCATGTGCCCCCTCCAAATGTACTTGTGAGGATGGTGGGATTAAGCAAAAGGTTTCCCTTGATGATCTTAAAACCTGGGTAGACTCATAAAAGGAAATACTGTACAGTGTTTGAGATAGCTTGGACCCAAGCCATTTTGGCATTAAAGGTTAAAACCAGCACTTTAAATTGGTCCAGAAATGGACCAGCAGCCAGTGAAGCTGCTATAAAGATGTGTGTGTGGGGGGAATGTTACGTGATCCTTGTCACCAATCCCAGTAAAGAATCTGGCTGCTGCATTTTGGACCTGCTGAAGTTTCCAAACACTTTCCAAAGGCTGTCACATGCAGAGCATGTGACAGTAATCCAGCCAGGATGTAACTAAGGTATCTGTCACCATGGTCAGAACAAACACTTCCAGGAATGGGTGTAGCTGGCACACTAACTTTAACTGGCACTGCTGGCCACCACTAAACATCCAGGCTTAGGGACAAATTCAAGAGCACACACAAGCTGGATACTTGGTTTTCAGGAGTGTAGCCCCATCCAGCACAGACTGGATCCCTATTCCATAACCTGCCTTTCAATTGACTAGGAGGATCTCTGTCTTGTCTGGATTAAGTTTTAGTCTATTTGCCCTCATCCAGTCTACTACCGATACCAGATACTGATCTAGAATTGAAACAGCTTCCTAGGAGATTTAGATAAAAGGAGAGATAGAGTTGGGTGTCATCCACAGGATATTCATATTTGTGTACCAAAGGATACAAATATGAGTATTGGGGCCAGCGGAAACTGAACCTTCCCCCAAGAACCCGCTGATTTATTTACCACTCTCTGTGCAGTGTGTATGGCCGTTGTCTATCACATAGTGCCTGACTGGGACTTCCCCACTGTGACAAACCCAGACCTACTGGGATATGCCACAGTTTCACTAAGCTGCCACCAACCATTCCCTGTAAGGAGTCACACAGACCAGGAATGGATTTTTAACAAATAAAGGAATAAGGTTTATTTAAACAACACACAGGGAAAATAAAATGATCAAGTGAATAAGATACAGTAACGTGGCTTAGTCTCAATCATACATACACCAGTTTGGTTCACACAGAACACTTTTAAATAAAGCACAGACCCTGTACATATCAGTTCTGGCTACCCATAAAGACACCTGAACCTATCAGGTTGGTACTGACTGACACACAGTAGTACCCTGTCTGACACACAGACTCCCACACCAGCTTCTTCTCTCAGCTCTCCTCCTCAGCTCTTAAACTTCTCCACACAGGATCCCCATATATATACAGTACAGCCCCTCCTCCTGATGTCCCGCCTTCCACTCCCCATAGGATGGAACTTTCCCTCCAAACCCATGACAGACAGGTAACATCAGTGCTGTATGTAACACCCACCTCTCCACACAGCTGACTTTGGCAAGAAGGCAGGATGATGAGTGTCCCTGCTCAGCTGCTGGAGAGGCTGGGAAGCACCAGATGGGCTACTTCCATGATTGACACTATGAAACTGGTGACAGCAGTCCACTTACCATATGGACAGCCGTAAGTGGACCGGTGGCTTCTAGGGGGAGAGGTCAGCTTTCGCTGGCACCTGTGGTGCCCATATTCATATCTGTATTCCTTGGGATATGAATACTAATATCCCATGTCTATTGGTGACACCAAACCTCAAAGCTCTCGACCAGAGGTCCCCAACCCCTGGTCTGCGACCCAGCAGCGGTCCGCGGCCTATCCAGGACCGGGCCACAGATGCAGATCTCCTAGCTCCCGTGAGTGCTATCGTACGCCTGCATGCAAGTGGATTCTGCCCGTGAGCTCGCTGTGCGCCTGCGCATGAGCACCCCCCAAGCACAACATCCACATGTGCATGAACGAGCTCTGCCCCCCCTGCGGGCATGCCACATCCACGCAAGCATGCCATGCCCCCCAACTGGTCCGTGGTTGAGAAAAGGCTTGGGACCACTGTTCTAGACAATTTCTCCCAGTAGTTTCATGCAGGTTTTAAATAGCATAGAGGACAAAACAGAAATCTGAGAGATGGGCCAATGGCCAGGGTGTTGAATAGCAGTTCCCCAGCTATCCCCTACCTACAGGAAGGCGTACAATCTCCCTAAAACAGAACCTCCAAGTCCCGTCCCAGAGGGACAGTCCAGAAGGATACCATGATTGATGGTATTGAAAGCTACTGAGATGTCCTGCAGAACGAGCAAGGATGCACTCCCCCTGTCCAATTCCCAATGTAGGTCATCCACTAAATTGACCAAAAGCACTCTTGATTCCTTATCAGGGCCTGAAGCCAGATTGAAATGGATCTAGAATAATCCATCTCCAGAAACCCCTGGAGCTATAAAGCTACAGCCCACTCTAAAACTTTGACCATAAATGGAACATTAGACACTGGCAGATAATTATCCAGCACCATGGAATTCAAAAAGGGCTTGAACCTACTTTACAGGGTTGTTGTAAATATGGATGATTCCTAGGTTACAATGGTTCAACATGCAACCCTCTACTTTTGTGGCTTTTCTAACAGTAGCCAATGCTCCTGAGAAAGAGTCCAAACCATATATTTCCAACCATTGCGACTGGTCCATAATTATGACAATGTACAGAAAAGCAGGGTGCATCATCTGATTGAATCTGCAACTGCAGTTTGAGCAGACTGTAAATCGAGTCCTATAATCGAATAGAGGAAAGGAGAAGGGAGGGGGAAATGGAAGTTGGAAAGGAGAGAATCCATATACAGTACGTACTTATGTGACAATTGTTAATTTTAAACAAGAATTTTTTCCAAGAAAGAAGTTCCATTTACAATATTGCATGTATATGGCAGAGTTCAAAAGTGCAGTCTGCTGTATTAAAAAGGGGAATCTCTGTACCTTACTTTGAATTCCTTGGAAGAAGAATAGGATAACAATCATAATAATTAATTTTTATTCTACCCTATCTTTCTTAAAGCAGCATAAATTATTATTCTTCCCCCAACCCCACCTAATTTTAACAACACTCTGGTGACTTAAATTGCTTTAAACAGAATTGTGGGGGGAGTGTAAACAGCGGTGTTAAATTTCAGTGATAATCATTCAAAAGAGCACAGTGAGCAATTATTTAAATTCAAGATCTAATACAAGGCGCGTGGAAAACCGCCGGCCTTTTGAACTTTATTTGAACTACAGCTCCCATAATTCCGTATATTGGCTGCGCTGGGTGAGGCTTCTGGGAGTTGAAGTCCAAAACAGAAAAAAAAATCTGACAGACCCAAGATTCTCCACCTTTGCTTTAAAGGCATGAACGAAACATAAAATTAGGACAATTCACGACTGGTGTGGGGGGGAAAAAGAGACACCATCCCCCCCCTCCAAGGACCTTCTCTCGCCTCACGGTGTTTGTTGTGAAAATGGACCAAGGGCGGGGGACGGGACAAAGACTTCGGAGGCCGGGCCTGAGGGAGAAGAGGAAACTTTCTCGAGTCGGGCAGACAGGACATTTCTCAGGCGGGGAAAGCTGGAAGGTTTCGGCCTGCCATGGCTGGGTACCCGGATAGTCCGGCTTCGAGGCCAAAGCCGCGTCGCTCCCACTCGAAAAGCCCGCTTTCCTTCCCCGCCTCAGAGTCCCGCTTGGCCTGCCACCCCTTGCCCGCCTGCCTTGCGCGCGCTGGACGACCGGGAGCGCGCGGCGGCGGTGTGGGGGGGGGAAGGAGGAGGAGGAGGAGGCTGCAGTCGGCGGCCATCTTCTTTCAGGAACCGGCGGCTTTTTTTTTTGGTATTTTTTTGTGTTTTTTTTTTTTTAATTTGCAAGTGAGGCAGCGCCGAGCTCGTCCTTTGGCCACGGACGGAGCTGGAGCGGGCTTGGAAAAGGGAGAGACCAGACACCCACACCCGCGGAACGAGCGGGGAGGAGGGGGGAGGGTTAGAAACTATATATCTATATATATTTTGAAGAGGGTGGGGAAGAGGAAAAGCGCTCTTTGCCCCCCCTTTCCGAGCGTCTCTTTTTTTTTTTAACCTCCTGAAGCAATAGGAGGGGAGGGGAGGGCGCCTCAGAGACGAGCATTAGGAGCCTTCTTTAGGGTGGGTGGGGGCTGAGGCTGAGGTTGTCCCCCCCCCTTTGCCTTGGTCCTCCTCCCTGCCAGCTCAGGAGGCCGGGGCTGCTCTCTAGATGGGAGGATAAGGCTGGGCGACCATGTTCAGCTTCGAAGGGGAATTCAAAACCAGGCCCAAGGTGTCCCTTGGAGGAGCCAGCCGGAAGGTAAGCCCCGCGTGCCGGTCTCGCCTCTTTCACTCTCCCCCCACCCCCCCCCCAAAAAAAAAACCTCTTTCTTGCCCTTCTGGTTAAAAATCGTCTCTTTATTTTTCCAGGCCTTTGTGGCTATCTTTGGGGGGGGGGAGAGAGGAAGAGGGTTTGGCAAGGCAGGCGTGACGAGGGCTGTCTTATCCCAGGACACCCCCCCCCGGGGGGAGCTCGCCCCTTGTGCCTATATTTTTTGGGGGGGGATTTCCTCCCCCACCACCCCCGGGCCATAGACTTGAGCTCTTGCTGGTTGTGTGTGTGTTTTTTGGAGCGGATCGTGGGTGGCGAAGGGCGTGGGCATCCTCGGGAGGAGAGGGCGTGCTCGCTTTGCCGTTGTGACTCGGCTTTTCTTTCCCAGGGGTTGCACCGAGCCTTAAGGGTTTGGATAGAAAGAGATCACGGAGATCATATATCATGTTTTGGTTCCGGGAGAAATACGGAAGAGACGCTGAACGGGAATGAGCAGGTTTTCCTTGCCATTCCCTCCAGCTTTGCTAGTGCCCCCTTGTGAGTTGTGTCAGGTCACAAACGGTGGTCACCGCCCACCAGGTTGGGTTAAAAAAAATGTAAAATAGGGGAGGAGAGAAGAAGGAGAAATGGGGTTAGGCCTCACGGTGGTGTGAAGCAACAGTGTAGCTTTAAATATACGTTATCTTTCATTTGGGAGGAAAAGGGTTTTCAGAACTTAAATGTCAGATTTCCTAAACACAGTATGTATTTTATATGGCTACACTGTATAGGAGGTAATAGGGAAAGTGGCTTTATTACATTATTTTTAAAAAACATTTAACAAAATCTCAGGCCAGCTTCTCAACATGGAAGGTCAAATCAGCAAGAGGTGTTATTAGTTCTCTTTTGCTGGGAGGCAGATCCCTGTGTTTTTAAATATTTCTTACCAGCACACTTTTTGAAGGGATGTTTCTGTTCAATATTGATGCAGTACAAAAGGTCACCCAAATGTATAGTGTGGTATTGGTAACAACAACAATAATATGCTGTCAAGTTGATTCCATCTTACAGTGACCTTTCTCAGGGGTTTCCAGGTGTAGATTAGATAGAAGTGGTTTACTATTCCATTCTTTGCTGGGGGGTGCTCTGAGATTGTGCATCAGGCTGGCTCTTCTCCCAGGAGGCACAGCGGGGTATTGAACTCTCCTTACCTGTGGCTCCACAGCCTGGAACCCAACTCACTGAGTTACCTAGCCAGCTCTTGATATGGTAGCACTCCATCTGTAAGTTCCCCAATAAAAATAAGCATATGCAATAGAAACAAATGATCTTGTAATCTGTATTTCTTCTATTCTAGATTAAGTGTGTTTATGGTATTGTGATTCAACAGTGGCACAACTGAAACTTGGCCTCAAGTGAAACTTTGTTCTCAATTCACTTACAAGCTTTCTGCAAGTCACTACTGTAGTTCACAATGTCAGTTTCCTGTCTGTACGCTGAGAGTAGTAATGCTTATTTTATGAGATTGTTATGTGTGGGGATAGAATTGCTATCTCTTCAGATTAACACAAATATGCTAAAATGTGGATTGAAGTTGATCAAGGATCAACAACTAGTCAGCTGGTTTAAAGTGATGAAGCAGTTTTCTATTATTTTGTAGCTAATTTGCATGCTAAACAAACAGCGTCAGTTAATTCTTTATATGTTTTGAATTTTGATTATTTGTTCTAAAATTTTAAATCTTTGCTACGAACTGTAAAAAACAGGCCTTTGAAAGAGCATAATGACTGAAGAACAATCTTGTTCTGCAGTTAAGCGTGCATAATACAAAACTAGAACCGGTAGAGAAAAAGGGGCAGAGTGGAAGTAATACCAATGAAGCACTTCCATAGACATGTTATGCAACAGTTGCCATGTGAAACATGCAATTGATTGTGCAGTTGTATGCTTCTTCAGGCTCAACTTTGTTGTGCATACTTGATCAGGATTTCAACCATTGTCTAATTGTCCATAAGTACCACAGCATATGCTTTGATATATAGTATCATTTAACACACATTTTCATGAATCAAATGTGCATCAGAAATACATCAAGTAAGTGTAGCTCTTTGTCTAAATTATAGAACAACTGTCTTATTTACTGACATGTTTTAGAGCTAAAAGCCATTAATGCTCATCAGATTACATTGGTACTATTACATTGCTTTATGCACTAGACAGAATACATATTGATTGCAACTGACAAGAATGGCTTGTCCTTCAAGATTGTATCTAAAGTGCTTTATATATTTTGGCATAAAATTATGAAACTAGTAGTCCCACTTAAAGATGGTGCCTTTTTTTGGTCAGAAAAGCTGGCGAGGATAATATATTTTCAGTATGGTACTGAAACTACTGGTGGATTTTAAACCACAATCAGGGGCTACGAAAAGTGTATTGTAATGTCATGTGTGGTTTAAGATTTCAGTACACTTAATGGCCTCACTTGCTTTTGGATTCCCAGTGTAGTGAATTTAGGTTATAAAGATCTGGTGAACTGATTGGTGAAATATTACCAAAATGATAGTGAAGTATTTACTATGCTCCTAGTAAATAAAGGGTCAGACTGAAACTCAGGAGGCCTGGATTCAAATTCTTATTTGACCATGGAAACTCACTGGAGAGTTTGAACTGAATTTGTAATGGCAAATTATTCCTTGAAGATCACAGATAACTGGAAAACTCTGTTAGGGCTACCATAAGTGGGAACTTGGCAGTGACTTGAATACACATAGTAACAGCAACATTTATTATGCATTGCTATATGACTACTTAGAATCTGGGCGTTGTTGTTGTTCTGTGCCATTACGTTGCTTCCAGTGTATGATGACCCTATGAACTAGGGACCTCCGAAAGCTCTTGTCCTTAAGAGTTCATTTCAGATCTTACAAACTCAAGACTGAAGGCCTCCTTTATTTAGTCAATGCATTTCATATTTGGTGTTCCTTATTTCCTGCCGCCTTCAGTTTTTCCCATCATTATCTTTAAAAGCATGAAAATGTAATTTATCCTTAATACAATTTATTATGTCCTTCACCCAAGTTGTTCAGTGTCATACAGTCTCCCACTTCTGTTTATCTTCACAATAATCCTGTAAGACAAGTTGAGTGTGTCACCTAATGCTGGCTTGAGTTTCAGCTAATGAGTTCCATGGCTGAATGATGACTTGAACCTGGGTTTCTTCCAGCTTAATCTGACACTCTGTCATGATTTACTGTGATGGTCAACTTTTTGGGTTCATTGTCCTGATTAATTCCATTGCAACTTTCAGGAACCCACTCTTTTCCTTTGCCACCTCTACAGTGGTTGCTAAAATTCTGTGGTGACTGTGGGCACTCCATGATAAGGAGAGTGGCGGAGTATAGAGCTAGTAGGAAAGAACATGGACGACAAGTGACATTTTAGACAAACGAGGAAACAAGGGGACAAATGCACGTATTTTGGAAAAGGTGGGGCTTCAGTGGCAGAATAATCTGGAGGTTTTTCAAAGCAGCCTTGAGAAGCTCCATGTGGCATGTGGACCACATGTTGCTCACCACCATACTAGATAGTAACCTTTGCCGTTGATGACTGCTTGTGTTTTTGTTAGCCAGTGAGAAAAACTAGAGTTATGTTTGTTTTTCCCTTACTTTTCCTGCAAGGCCAGGAGCCAAACTACAGTACCCTTATTGTTGCCCCAGCTAACAGCTATTGCCATAATGAAATATAGGTTATTATCAGTTGTCATGGTACTGTAGAATGACTTGACCTAAATTAATGAGGATGTAAATTGTCATCCCAGTTTCTGCAGATTTTCCAATTCACATTGTACATATTCATATTAAAATCATTTAAAACTTCCTTATTCCTAACTTGTGCATAGGTTTGTAGCAAAAAGGTATCTAAGCTGTTATTAGGACATGGAAGTCAGCGTAGCTCTCATAGGCCCCATTGCAGACTGATTTAAATTTACCTTTTCTTTCTGTCCTTTGCATATCCTTGTGTAAATCACTACTTAAATTAAATTTCCCATGTTATATTTCATACAATCAGTGTAAAAATGTGCATACGTAGTGGTTGCAGTGACGTTCAAAATCAATTAGTTTGCAATTAAATAAAGTCTATTATTTGGGAGCATGTTAACTTGTGGTCCTGCCTGGGAATTGGAATTTGCTTGAGAGGCTGTACTGTACTCTTAGGCTGAAAGGAAAATCAGTCAGGCATCAGAGGTAGATTGTTTTCAGTTATGATTACCTGAAACTGGAACTCTACTCCCTGAATTACTCTTAGTATCAGTTTTAGAGAGAACTATAAAAACGCATCTTTTTTTTACTTTCATTCCTTTAAGTTTAAGCTGTGTCAAGAAAATATGCACTTTGTTTTCTTCTTTCCTTTGGTGTATTTTATTTTAACTACACTATATTTTTATTTGATTAATTGAACGTCCTGTTGCTAACTGTTCCATAGAGTTTGAGTTTTACTTATACTGTTCATTATATTATGCGAACCACCTTACAAAGGACTTGGTCCTACAACCAGTACATAAACGATTAAATAAATACCTGCATCAATTTAAACAATGCATGTATTTTAATGGGACTCATACTTACATACTTCTAAAGGACTTCCATTGTTTTAATTGCATTCATTACTACTGAATAGCGATGGGCACAAACTACAGTTCAGTGGTTTGGCTCAGAGCCCACACAGGGATTCCGTGGGCATGGCACACTCCCCTCTCCTGCCTCCTCCGTGTATTTGCCCATTCCCCAGCTGAAGCACATTTCTCTCCCTGACTCCTTAGCGCTATGGCCTACTCAATTATTGCAGATCTCTTTCCTCCTCTGCCTCCTCCAGCAGCTGCCTACTCAGAGTTGTGCGCTTCCCCCCACCTCCTCCAGCAGCTGCCTACTCAAAGACAGAGTTGTGCGCTTCCCTCCCCCCCCTCTTTGTCTGAGTGGGTGGCTGCCAGAAGAGGCAGAGGAAGGAAGCATGTGCTGTGAATGGATGAGCAGGTGAGTTCACAGAGGAGACAGGACAGGGCACTGTGCTGCGCCTATAGAATACCTTTTTCAGTGGCACACTGAACTGGACCGAACCACTGAACTGTGACTCATACCCATCTCTAACTTCTCAATAGGTTTCATGCATAGCCCAGATACAGAGGCATGGGAATGTATGGACAATTCTGATATAAATGTTAGGAATGGGAATTTATGTACAGTACATATTATCAGACTGTGTTGTCAGATAAATGTTAGGAATGGGAATTTATGTACATATTATCAGACTGTGTTGTCAATAGAGCTACAATGAATATGCACTCTGTGATTGTAAGAAATAAAACATACAAAACTGACTGTGACTCAGCAGTAGTAATGAGATTGCAGATTTCTGTGGTATTCATCAGTTTAAGGATTGGCTATTATTAGGGCTTGTTGATTTTTTTTGAGAGATGATGGACCTTCTAGAAAGCAATGACATTTGATCAGCTCTTTTCTGTTACCAGTGTATTTAGAAATAAAAAGGCAGCTGGATAAATAAACATGCATTTTGTAGTGGAAGTGATTTTCTGAAATTTCCTAAAAAGCAAGACTAGTGATCACCAAAGCTTCCTTTAAAACAAATGAACTGTGCAGTCTTTCCACCCCACTCCAGCAATCTTATCCACCAGTATAAATGTTTACTTCTGCTTTGTAGGCTGTACTAAAAATATTAAGTATTTGGATTTACCCACGTTATCTGGGAAAGTATTGCAAGGATGCCTAGGTCTCGTTAGGAAACAAATTTGCTGGGTTTGAAAAAGTACATTATTTACTTTATCCATATAATAAAATCAAATAAAGTGACCAAAATCTTCCAATGTTATATTAAAGGGATCTTTTGGGGTGAATCTTTCAAATGTTGTTAACTCAGTTGGACAAGGATGGCTGCCCCCCCCAGAGGTGATTATCATTTATTCATGCAGATTTATTAAGCAGTTAGATCTATTAGCCAACATCAGGGCAATATACATCAGTTAAAGCCTAATATCAATTTGAATGGAAACAAGAATCTCATACATCTGTTTGTAATTGAGGTCTTGGGATAGAATGTATTAAGACAGGTGGTGTTTATGTGTTGATACTGTTAATGTGTCAAATTGATAGTTGTGGATCCAAATCTTTAAAAAGAGAAGAGGCATGTACATATTGTATATTATATTTAGTGTAGACCATATTTCAGTTTAGGAAGACTTATCTTTACACAAAACTTCAAAAGCACTTGTTTAGAAGCACTGTATTATGTTCTTTTCTAGGAGGAAAAGGCATCTCTTTTGCATCGGACTCAGGAGGAGAGACGGAAACGAGAGGTATGATCCAAGTGGAGGCTTACAAAACAGAAGCTATCAGTTGAAATTAATTCTGTGTGATAAAAAGTAGAATGAAAAAAAAATCTTCTGGAATGAAAAACCATACCAACGAACTTAAAACCACCGTTTCTGATCCTGGTTAAAGTGCAAACTTCCTTTGCATTACCTGTGCTAACCTTCCAAAGAACTGTTACTTGGCCCTACATAGGAAGCTGCCTGTGTTCCGTCCACAGTTGTCCAGAGTGCTTTGCACCAGCTTTCCGGGAGTCAGAAGACAGCTGCCTTTCCCACCCCTGCCTTAAGATCCTAGTGACAGAATCTGGGATTTTTGTGTGTGCAAAGTACATGCTCTCTTATTGAGCTTTTCAGCGTGCTTCAGCTGAAGCAAACTATTAGGATAAGACTCTGTGGTCTGATAATGTGATCTTACCTTTTTCCTTGATCAGTCTAGTGTGTTATTTTCATTTTTATGTGTGTTGAATTTTCAAAGGCTGGAAAGGGCAGGCTTTCTCTAGTTGTTTGATTTTTGCACAGAATTCTTATTTTCCTAGAATTGTTTGTGCAAGTGTGTTGTCTTAAAATCCCTAAAACGATCTTGACTCACCAGCAGAAACATCAGTTTCATCCTGATTCACACCTTTTGTTTGACTGTCAGCGTAACATGTACCACGTCATTGTTTTCAAAGATTTGCTTAAATACATTTTGTGATTCACCAGCTATGGAGATGCAGTTATGTGGAGAACTATATGTATTTCAGAGAGTACTTTTGTTGACCTGTGGAATGAATGTTTGTACACTTATTGCTTGCACTACATGGCATGAAACCCCAACTGTCATTATCCTTCTAACTTGTTTAGCTATATTTACTATTTATTTAAAATATCCTGTTTCCCTGAAAATAAGACCAAACCTGGAAATAAGCCGTAGAATGATTTTTCAGGATGCTCGTTATATAAGCCCTACCCCCAAAATAAGCCTAATTAAGTGAAACTTCGCCCTCCACCATTGTGCAGCAACCAGATGACATGACTGTATTTGAATAATGTAGATTGTTGTATATGGGAGAAAAAAATCCCCTGAAAATAAGCCCTAATGCGTTTTTTGGGGCAAAAATTAATATAAGACCCTGTCTTATTTTCGGGGAAACACGGTATTTTTATGCTACTTTTCTCCCTTAAAAGGACTCAAGGCAGCTTATATGAATAAAAGATCGTGTTTAAAGCTAAAAACAATGAATATACAAAGGCAGTTAACATTGTTAAAAGACAATATTAACTATGTAAATTCTGTGAGTACCAGCCTTGCACAAAATGACTAGCAAATAGTTATGCATGAAACATTGGCACAGAAAATGTGCATAATAAACAAGCCACTGTATTTATAGAAATATATACATTTGTGCACATTTTGAAGATACAGCTTATCTCTATATTGTACAAATTTTATGAAATGAAAGAACATATCTGTCTGTTGAGAATAAATTCAAACAGAGCTTTAAAAAGGAAATGAATATAGTGCTCTTGCATCATTGACCTCCAGTTTCAAACATTTGCAATTATGGGTCACTAATTGACAATTATGTATTCTTGGATGAAACCTAGGCCTATAGAGCAGAACATAACTGTCTCATGTTGTAATTCAACTGTGTTATGGAAAATCAGCAGCTGTTTCTGACGCGAGTCGAAACTGACAAAAAACTTTCTGTTTTCAGAGTTATAGATATTCTTTTCTCATTTGTTGTCGAGTATTTTCATGTACAACTTCTTGATTCTGTTGATAGCATTTGTTTTCATTTAACTTGCTAATGCAGATGCATAGTACTGTGTACATATATGAATTTTACTCATAGTGGATAAAAATCAGTAATTTTTAAAAAATAAATTGAATTGATTTAAACCACAATTTAAATCACAATTTAAATTAAAAATGATTTAAAAAAATTTAAATATTCAGAAAAATCTGATTTTTTAAACCATGATTTAAATTGTGATTTGAATCAAATCTACCCTGATTCTGCCTCAAGAAACCCAGATTAAATTCTGAGGATTCCATATGACTTTGCATGATTTATTCTAATAACATTCATTCTATGAATATTTTAGCAGCTTTTATTCAACATTCTGAATAGAGTCTGGGGCAAGAAAGTAACAATGGACTCAAGTTGCTATTAGTGGATGAGAAAAGCAGGGAGCTCTACAAGATGTTGATGCATGTTGTGATTTCTGAAACTGGAACCCTTTCCAAATTCCATTTGTTTTGAGTCTTCAGCATAAAGGCTAGGAATTTTTTTAAAAAAAGAAATCAAATTTCTTATTTTGACAAATCATCCAGGAAATGCCTGATTACCTTACATGATAGGCTTCTTATGAATATAGCCGACTCAGCAGTTCTGAGAGTTGTAGCCCAAAAACATGAATGTGCACATTTCTGATCCATATGATAGCAGAGCTTCTGGTGATAGAAGAAGGCAGTAGTGTCAAGTCTAAAATAAGTTGCTTTTAATAGCCAGTAAGATATTTTATTTGTGAACTGCTTAAATTTTAATAGTATAGAAATATTCTATACAGAAAAATTGTATGTGCATGTGTATGTATCTGACACTAGTATTTTTGAACCCTACCCATGATTGGATTCTCAATGCTACAGTCGTGCCCCACTTTAGGATTGCCCCGCATTACGACGAAACCACATTACGACAATCTTTTTGCGATCGCAATTGCGGTTGCAAAACGATGGTCTAAATGGGTGTTTTTCGCTTTGCAATGATCGGTTTCCTGCTTCGAGAACCGATTCTTTGCAAAGCAACATTTTTTAAACAGCTGATCGGCAGTTTCAAAATGGCCACCGGGTAAACAAAATGGCTCTCTGCTATTTTCTGGGACGGATTCCTCGCAAGACAGGCAGCGAAAATGGCTGCCCTATGGAGGATCTTCGCTGGACAGTGAGTTTTGACCCAATTGGAATGCATTGAAGGGGTTTCAATGCATTTCAATGGGGTTTTTTCGCATTACGATGTTTTCGCTTAACGGCGATTTTCCTGGAACAGATTATCATCGTTAAGCGAGGCACCACTGTATTTTTCAGTCCAATTTACTTGGACAATCCTGCTCTTTTCTGCTCCAAAACCCACCATCTATTTTTTTCTTTGATGTTATCAAAGAATTAATACATATATGAGGAATGTTTTCTGGTATGTCTGTTTTCGCAGTGGATTCATGGGTGTGTTTCTTGTCGTTGCTTTGCACTGTTAGCTACAGTGCAGCAAATTTTTATTTTGACCTTTGTTTTGTTTCCTTAGGAAGAAAGGAGAAGACTGAAAAATGCAATAATCATCCAGTCCTTTGTACGGGGGTACAGGGACAGAAAACACCAAGTAGGCCCTTTTATGCAATTATCTTTTCTTAAATCTTTTTTTGAAATTGTATGATGGATTATCATAAATGTCGTCTTAATGGTTGTCACTGTCACTATTCTGACTTTCTTTCTGCTGAGCTTCCCAGCACGTGATACCAGTGCAGCAGTTCTTTTGTTCCAAGCACAATGTGCATGTTTTGGTGCTCTTCTGAGCATCCAGTCCTGCTGCAGTATATATGAAGTGCAGTTTCCAAGCCATGCACAAGGGCTTTCTCAGAGTTTGCTCCCAAGCTTTGGAATGGGCTGCTTTTGGAGCTGGGTGATCCCCTTCCTTTTTGTCCTTCTGTCATCAAAGGTCTTCTTTTCCAGGAAGGCTTTTAAGTAGTAGGTGGTTGTTGTTTTTTTATAGAAATGCTACAGTTACTGCCTTTTAGATGTTTAATGTTTTTGGAAGTATTTTAAAAATTGTTTTTAATTTGTGGTTTTAATGTTGAAAAATGTTAAGTCTTTTTATATAAATTTTATGACATTTAAAAATTTGTAATTGTTGTATGGTTTTAATTATTGTGAGTCTCGTTAGCTTCCTTATGGAGAAAAAGATAGAATATGAGTAAGAAATAAATAAATAAAACCAGATATAAATGTATTCCAGTAGTTTTATTATGAGATTACTGGTGAATGGATCACAGTATCAGTGCTGTGCCTGTTAATAACAAGTACATTCACCACCCCCCAAGGTGATAATGGGCCCCATCATTCAGAATTTTTGTACCCTTTGCACCATCTTGATATATTTGAGGAATTTCACACAACTGTTCTTGTGTAGTAATACAACCCACATAATTGTTTTGGGGTACGTTAAAATCCTGCTTGAGTGTCCTGATCTCTGAGACTAAATTTCATTAACTTTATGTTTTTTCTCTATTTTAAGTATTCCATTCAGAGGAGTGAGTTTGACCGCTATGCTAATTTAGCACAGTCTGGAGGAGGTTTCTCCACTGCCAATGGAGCAAATCTGACACTCTTAGTTCGCCAGCTTCTGTTTTTCTATAGGCATAATGAGGATTCCAAACGTTTGGTAAGTCCTCAGCTTTCATTAAGGAAGCTTATTCTTTTTTTTTTTACAAGTTTTAAGTAATGTAATGTATTATTTATGCTTCACTAATCAGTAGTATAGGAATAGCTTAGTTTCTTGTGTGTACTTGTGATGATGTATTTTAATGTGTTTTAATTTTACTGTTTATTGTTTGTTTAATGTATGTTTTAATTTGCCTTTAAACTGCCCAGAATAGTGCTCCTGAACTAATAGGGCGGCCAATCAATCAGGTGGAGAAATCAGACTTGTGCAGAGTTGCTTCTCTTTAAGTTTTAACACTTTGTGTATAATACAAGTGTTTTATGCACCCTTAGGGGCAATGTTGTTGGAAAATGGCTTGATTCATGGGAATCATACATAGGCTATTGGGACGTTTGTTGGGATATTGCATTGCCCCTTTCTCTCTGCATTCTCTAATGTTCTTCAGTTCACAGTTTTGTAAATAGAAGCTTGCCACAATATCCACATTGGGCTATGTTGTCCTCCCCAGATTGTGATTTGCTCAGTTTAGTTGTTCCTTCTGAATCAGGACATTAGAGAGGGACTCTTTGTGTGAATGAACTATGTCCTACACTATGTGAGTCTTAGGTACTTAATTGATGAAGTGTCTTTTCTTGTATTGCTCAGTTTCTACTTCTCCCTGAAGGGAGCTTAGACTGGCTGCTTTGCCCCATTGGACCTTTAAAATAGATTTAACTTAATAGTATAGAATCATAGAACTATAGTGCTGGGAGGGCCCCCTGAGTCTTCAGGTCCAGTCATCTACCAAAGCAGGAAATCCACAGTAAAGCCTCTTTGATAGATAGCCATTTAATCTGTCTGCTTTATATACATAGCTATACCTTTTCCCTGGAGGTGTAGGTTTGGCTTTTGCTTATTTTTCTTCTCTGTAAAATACAAACATATCTGTAACAATTTTCTTAGTATTTTCATGCAAATTGACAGATTTTGCTTGCTCCAAAGAAAATCCAAGTCTCTCTCGGTTGCACTGCGAAATGACTCATTGAAGCCATTTATACTGAGAAGGAAGGAAGAGCCAGATGTTCTTGTTTTGTTTTGCATTTTTACTACATGGGTTAGGATTAAGTACATTAATATCCAGAGTACAAAAAGCAGTAATATTTCTAAAGCATTTTAATACTTATGTTTATGGATTTCTTTGATTTTCCCTAGATATGGATGTGTCAAAACTTGATTAAACAACATTCTCAGTTTGTGAAGCAACTTGATGGCCCTGACAAGCTTACATGCCTATTTCAGATAAAAAGACTGCTGGGTCTGTGTTGCAGGTAAATAAGATAAACTTACTCCAGAATACACTATATCCCTAGAGCTGGATTCATATTAAGTATGTAGAGCCATATTAAGTGTAAATTAAATTGTGAACTTAGAATCTTTAGCTTCAGTCAGCTTCAGTGAAACAACATGGAGTAGGTTGTGGTTGTGTTCAGTGCTTAGAGTATGGATCTTCAAACTTTTCACACAGAGGGCAACATAATATTTGCAATATTTTCAAGGGCTGAAGAAACGTGTGTATGTACGTGCGCCTGCCCACACTCCTGCCCGCACACACTCCCAGCCACCCACCCGCATGCACGCAGTTCTCTGATTTTAGCAAGACTGGCTCTTGAACTGTTTATAACTCACTACAGCATTAATCTAAAATTATTTTTAACCATAAAAAACGTAAAAAAATGTTCTCCTGGTCTTCCAAAATCACACCCCAAATGCAAAAATTTACGAGAAACAAGCGTTAAAACACTCAATATTTTTCCTTGTTATGTCTTGTTATAAATAATCTTATGCCTTCATTACTAAAGACTTAGTGTGCTATAGATAACACTGTCCCCAATCCTGTTTTGTTTTTATGCCTGTGGATGAAAAATCATGGAAGTTGCTGTGGTGAATTAGATCTGATTCACAAGTTGTTGGACACATGACAAACACATGCCCATAGGTGTCCAGCACTTAATTGCACTGGCTTCTGTGATTCTTCTGTGCATGTAAAACCACAATAGAAGTTGCCCATTGTTGTCTCTAATACCTTCTAAAGTCCATAAGGCCAAAGTGCTGGCACTGATTCATCTGTGGCAGAAAGGAAATTCTGACATTTTACCAGTGCATACTTATTATGTGATAACTTGTATTCTGTAATCACGTATTTTCACAGAGAAGAAATCTGAAAACTAATCCCATTGTTTTCAAATTATTACAGTATACTACTTTTTTTCTGCTAGAAAGGAAAACCTCTGTACCTCTTGTGTAATACTCTTTACTTTGTCATAGATTACTCCAAAGCTGCAATGATGACAGTCTGAATGTTGCACTTCCTATGAGGATGCTTGAAGTATTTTCGTCTGAGAATACCTATTTGCCTGTTATACAAGATGCTAACAAGGTAGCATCAATAATTGAACAAATCTTGCACTATGTGATTCAGAAAGGTTAGTGTGATGATCGATTTGCAACATTATGATGAATTTTGAACACACAATGACAAGCAACTATGTATTTAAGTTTGCTTTCAAATATCACAAATGACAATTAAATGGCTTGGGTCCAAGCTAAAAGACTGTACAGTGGTGCCTCGCATTACAACGTTAATTCGTTCCAGCGAAATTGCTGTAGAACGAAAATGTAATGCGAAAATAAAAAGCCCATTGAAATGGATTGAAACCCCTTCAATGAGTTCGAATGGGCTGAAAACTCCAGTGAGGATCCTCCATAGGGCAACCATTTTTTGTGGCTGTCTTGCGAGGAATCCATCCCTAAACACAGCAGGGAGCCATTTTATTTACCCGGCGGCCATTTTGAAACCGCCGATCAGCTGGAGGAAAATCGTTGTTTTGTGAAGAATTGGTTCCCGAAGCAGGGAACTGATCACCGCAAAGTGAAAAACCCCATTCAGACCATCGTTTTGCAATTGCAATAAGATCGTCGTAATGCGGTTTCGTCATAATGCGGGGCAATCATAAAGCGAGGCACCACTGTATCTCCCTAAAAGACCCTATCTCCCTTATGAGCCTACCCACATATTAAGATCTTCAAGAGGTGCCTTTCTCTCAGTCCCATTATTGTCATAGGCACATTTGGTGGGGACACGGGAGAGAGTCTTCTCTGTTGCTGCTCACAGACTCTGGAACTCCCTCCCACAGGAAGCCAGGCTGGCCCCATTTTTGCTGTCCTTTCGCAAGACATTTCCCTTGAGGCAGACTTTCCTCTAAATCGTGGGTCTTCAAACTTTTCAGAGTGATGGCCACCAACGGTCCTTTTGCTCATTTAATCCCACTCCACACCCCCATATTTATGAAATCATAGATATTAAGAAAAGTTTGAAAGCTATAATCTTATTAGATTTTACATAAAGTTTGTGTAATTTGCTAAAGCTAATTGTAATTAATTGATAAAGTACCAGGGCATATTTCAGTTGTGCAGTCAGGTGTGTGGCCAAGTGCATGGCTCAGACCAACCCTGGCACCTTATCAATTAGCTGCAATTAGCCATGGCACGTTAATCAAGGTATACATGAATACCAGTAGGATGCTAACCATTGTGACATTAAATACTGACGCTGATAGATACTTCTAGAAGTACTTGTAACTAGTGCCATAGCATACATGTAGATAAATCTAGTTCTGAATATTAGGGCTGTAATCCTAAACATACTCCTGGTGCAGTGGTTAAATTGCTGTACTGCAACTAAAGCTGTGGTCACGACCTGGGGTTCAATCCCAGGTAGCAGGCTCAAGGTTGACTCAGCCTTCTATCCTTCCAAGGTCGGTAAAATGAGTACCCAGCTCATTGGGGGGAGGGGGCAAGGTGTAGCCTGCACTTGTAAACCGCCCAGAGAGTGCTTGAAGCACTATGGGGCGGTTTATAAGCAGCACACTTTGCTTTGCTTTGAACATACAAACCATGAAAACTTATCTCTTCTTAACATGCAACAACATCCTTTCTTGTTGTTTGCTGCAACAGACAACAGGGCTGTAGTGCTGGAATATATTAAAATGTCTCATTTAATTGCCTGCCTTAAAATAGGCACTTTGTTTCTTTGTCTCTTTCTTTCAGGATACTATAGGTCTTTATATCTGCTAATAAATAACAAGCTTCCATCAAGTATTGAGTATTGTGATGTTTCTCGGGCTCCTATTGCAAAAATACTGTTAGAGAATGTTCTGAAGCCATTGCACTTTAACTATAGCTCCTGCCCTGAAGATGCCAGGTAAGCAGTGGACACCTTTAGTTCTGCAACTGATCTCTAGTAGCTCTTTCTGCTTGCTGCAACAATGTGCATGTCGATAGTACGATGTGAAATGAAACAAACAGGCAAAAGATGACTAGGTCAGTACTGTCTAGGGATTTCTAGTCTTAAAACCGTGCATTGTTTTTCTGTGGGCTTGTTTAGCCAAAAAGTAATAAGACAAAAGAATAAGCAGTAGAGCAGAATTTCACTCTGAAAAAACGGATCAATAGAGTTTTATAAAGAATTAATGAAATGTTATTTACATTTGTGATCTGCTTTGTCATAGTCAGACTTGTAACACGATTGGGTATGAATATATTTGTGAAAGACTGAGTTGACAGATTCCATAAAGAGAACCCATTCTTTACCTGCTGCAGGCAACGGATTTTTGCTGCTTTTACAGAAGAGTTCCTGGCAGCACCTTTTACAGACCAGATATTCCATTTCATCATTCCAGCGCTTGCAGATGTGCAAACCTGTTTCCCTTATGAACTCTTTCTGAATGCACTGTTATTGACAGAAAACAAGCGTTTGAGGAAAAGTGAGAGAGCTCCTTGGCTTTTTTACTTCGTTTTAACAGTTGGTGAAACATACTTAGGTAAATGAGTGCATTTCACAAAGGTTATCAGCTTTTAGTGTGCTTTTTTCTGAAATTGCTCAGTTGCTGTTTTATGTTTAGAAAATATTATTATTCTTATATTTGTATCCTACTCTTCATCTAATAGCCTCTACTCCTGTGGTCCCCAACCTTGGGCCTCCAGATGTTATTGGACTTCAACTGCCAGAAATCCTGGCCAGCAGAGGTGGTGGTGAGGGCTTCTGGGAGTTGTATTCCAAGAACATCTGGAGGCCCAAGGTTGGGGACCACTGCTCTACTCAATTTGCACTAATGTTATCCTAAAGAGGTATATTTAGCTGAGAACTAGTACCTTCAGTCACTGGGGACTTGCCATGCCTGAATTGAATAAAGGGGCAGGTCTTCCTGATTTGAGCCTGATTTCAGCGTTGAATGCTACAGTGGGAAACAGGGTAGCCAGAAGGCTTCAGTGGCTGACTCTCTAAAAGTATTTGAAAAAGACATCATCATAATAATTATATTTGCAGTATTATATTTTTGTTGATGATACACAATGTGGTGCAGTGGGTAGAGTGATAGACTAAGACTCAGGAGGCCTGGGTTCAAATCACTGTTCAGCCACAGAAACTCACTGGGGGTGTGGAACTGGTTAATATCTCACCAACCTTTAGAGCCCTATTAAGGTAGCTATAAGGTGGTTCCAACTTGACAGCACATAATAGCAACAACTTTTGTTGATTGCAGCATTTGTTGATTGCAGCATTTGTGGTTGTTAGGCTTTTATTAGGAACAGTGAGGTCTAGAAAATATTGTTCTATTTTCCAAAACGGAATAAGGATGACAAGGATATTTTAATATCCCAACCTACTCATTGAAGTTTCTGATTATAGTATAATTTGGAACCGGCCTAGATCAGTTGAGTTCTCATTGGAATAAGTCTGATTTAGCCTAAGTAGGTTGTTTTTTTTGGACCTAATTGCAACTGACTTACTCAGATAACATGTACTGTGTATTATAGAACAATTTTTAATGTGTAATTTGGAGTATTAAGTCATTCATGAGAGTTGTTCAACGTCTTACAAAGAAATGATAATAAAAAATGATTTATAATTGAGTCCTATTCAGCAGAAGTGTATGCTCTTAATTTTTTCATTAATTACAACCATTTTTCTGTAGGATCCCTTTCAGAAGAAGGGCTACTCGTGTATTTGCGGGTTCTCCAGATGTTTCTTTCTCAGTTACCAGTAACTACAACAGGTACAGATTGTCAAGATTCAAATAGTGACTCTGAAGATGAAGAAATTAGTAAGATGACTTCAACGCCGGTAAGTATTTATTAGTTTATTTACATTTTTAAAGTACTTTTTATGCTTCTCCCCATGCAGAGCAGCATATGGAAAGGATGGTAAAAATAAATTTTTATATGATTATCAAACAACTGTAGTTGAAATTTGCTTGATAAAGCTGCTTTGGCGACACAAGCTGCTATGTCTGTCAAAAGCAACCTTAAACAAGATGGTCTTCAAAGCCTTTGAAATGCTAGAGTAACAAGAGGGAAGGTTAAGTCTGTTGAAAGGGATTTCCAGAGATTCAAGACTGCCACTGAGAAGTAGGGTGGATAAAAATCAAATGATTTTTTAAAAAAATCAATTTTATTTATTTAAATCATTCAAAATCCATTTTTTAAAATTTAAATAATGATTTGATTTAAATCAATTTGATTTAAATCATATCCACTCTGCTGAAAAAACTCTGCCAGTTGTGATAAGACACACACTCAAGAAAGTGCCTTCAGACATACATTAGCATGGGGCCAAAATTGTATGGGTAAAAGTGGGCCTTGGAAAACCTGGTGCACAACCTAGAAATGCTTCAAAAGTTAAGGGAGGTATTTTTGAATTAGGCCAAGAAGTGTACTGATACCCTTGCAATCAAAACCATGTCCTCAGATTTTCCCCCTCCCTCCAGATTCTGGATGTCCTCAATTCGAACCAGTTGTAGTTCCAGGGCGTCTTCAGAAACAACCCCGCATAAAGTCCATTTAAATAGTCTGTTTTGGAGGCAACTACAGTATGGATAACAGTAGTCATGTCTTACTGGTCCAATTAGGAACTGGTTCATTTGGCAGTTATGACCACCTCATTGTGGTTTACCTAGGTCAGCATGTGGTATGTTAAGGAGGGTACAATTCCATCCAGGACTAGTTGTACACTTTTAAACCCATGAAACCACAATCTTGCCAGCTTGGTCTCCCTCCTAAGTTTCAGATGAGATTCCAGACGTGTCTTTGAAGACATCCATAGCGTTCTTGAGATCCTTGGTGGGAGAGAGAGGTAGAGTTACATCTCATCAGCAACAGTGATTGCATGAAAGACCTAGATGACATCTCTCACCAACTTCATGTAAAAGAGCATTTGGGGGCCTACAGAGCCATGTGTAATTTTATAAGACACAGGTCATGTGGCTGAAGATCAATTACCTTATAGTAACTTCTGTGTTTCACTTCTTAGGCAGGGTGCAAACCATTGTAGCACTGTGTCTTGTAAGTCCAGTCTGGCCAGTTGAGACAAGAGGTTATCGTGGTCATTAAGAGGATCAAGGGATATCAAGAGAATTGCACTCCCACTAGTTAGTCCTTAGCATACAGTTGTGTTCAAAATTATTCAACCCCCAATGCTGTAAAGGGGTTTAGGGACTATAGTGTACATTTGGAATTGTATTCAGAATGAAATCCTACAAGGACGTTTTAAAGAACCAAATGCAACTAAAATAACATCAATTGTTTATGTAATACAGTGGTAAATGTTTCTTTTGTGGTTTCTTCATTGCCACAATTATTCAACCCCTTAAAGACTACCACTCTGAAGAAGAGAGGTTCATTCAGGTGTTTTCGATCAGGTATTGAAAACACCTGTGGATGTCACCGAGCACCAATCAAGCATAATAAGCACCAATTAGGCAGCTTTAGCACTCCCACTAGTTAGTCCTTAGCATAAGTCAGGCTGTTAGGGTGACAAAGGCTGTTTCTATTCCAAACTTGGAAGGGAACTCGAACCTTTAAAGAGAACCATGGCCATGCCCTATCGCAAGTAGTTATTTACCTACCTGTGAAGTGTTGTGTCTTCAAGCTCACTTGATACTTTTACTTTTTCAAGTGATCTTGAATAAATTTTATAATGGCAACACTCAAGTTGGAGCAGGCATGCTCTGCTGTAACCCTGCAGTTTGGGGCAGCAAAATACATTGGCAATAGTCCTTTCATTTCTATTTGCCTTGGTCTTTTTTTACGAGTGAACAGTTTGCAGGTTTCCTTTCATTCAGTGGAAAGTGCAAAAGTTGAACTGTTATTGTTCGAATTGTGTATATATAGTGCTTGCCACCCAGTTTGCAGGTGTTTTGTTATAGGTTGCTTACAATGGCTTTTATATGGCTAGGATTGTCAGTTGCAGTCAAGTAGAACATTACGCAGGTGGCTACATAATGTACTGTGATTTATTGTGGAAGAGAATGGAATTCTAATGGGGGCATAGAATTTAATGGCTGTTCAGAAAGATCAGCAGTGTTGTTGTGTATAAAAGCCTCTCTTCTCCTTCTATAGATTTATAAATAGCATTCTGATTTGTCAAGTTAAGGTAATGAAGAAATACTAAAGTACTGATATTAGAACCACACCTTGTAATTAGATAAATGCTACCTGGTTCTCCTCTCTGTTTTTTACAGCGAAATATGAACTAGTTATAAATACTATATCAGATTTAATATCTTAAAATGTAAAGCAATTCTTAAGAATTATTAACCATAATTTATACCACAGTCTTAGGCATCTTTTCTCAGAAGTACTTTCTGATAGGTTCAGTGAGGCATCTGTCCAGTTAATCCAGACTTATGTTTTTAATATATTCCCAAACTGTGCTATGAAAATACATAGATCAAAAAGAAAATATAATAGTTTTCTGCTACACTTTGGGCTTTACAATCTCGCTTCTGATATGTAGCTTCATATACTATTTTTTAATTGTCAAGAGGGTACAAACTGAACTATTTTTAATTGACAAGAGGGTACAAACTGAACAAATTAGAAGCATGTGTGGATTGTAGCACTCAAAAATTAACTGTCAGTAATTAATGACAATACTATATAAGATGAATGCTTACAGAGCAAGAGCTCCAGTACAGGGGGTTTAAATATAAGTTAGGTTAACCATATCATAGTTCTGCCTTTGCTCTGGGCTATTATTTTTCATCACCTTTTAGTCATTTAAAAGGCATTTTGTTCACATCCACTTGTGTACATATAAAATGAACTTTGAATGCTTGAATGCCATGCAAATTAATTTGAGAGGTGTGAGGTATGTACAGAGAGAGCCATTGTTATAACATGGCATGTCTACTTGTATCTGTAAAATGAACTTTGAATGCTTGAATGCCATGTAAATTAATTTGAGAGGTGTGAGGTATGAAGAGTGTACAGAGAGAGCCATTGTTATAACATAGCATGCCTACTTGTGTCTGCAGAATGGTTAGGTTGACCATATTGTGGTTATGCCTTTGCTCAGAGCGGATATCTTCTCTGTTTAGCTCCCTTGCATGGCAGCTTCCATGTTGTGGAACTAGTATTATGGTATTACATTAAAAATCCAGAAAAGACACTGGAAGAATCCATCAAGAAAAAGGAAAAAAAAACATTTTTTTCACCTTTGATAGCAGACATGTTTATTTAGACAATACAAATGGTGCAGGTTAATGTTCTTTTTTGCTCCTGCAAACCTTTCCCCATGTTGGTGTTGTGAGATTCAGAAGCACACTGGCATCAAATTTTCACTCATTCAAAATGCAAGGCTGATACTCTGTTATTTGTGGAAGAAGATAGTTGGCACCCCAATAAGCGTTTTGGTCCTGCACTTCAGTGTTCACCCTCTTTCACCAGAAAGGAACAGCATCAGTATGGAAAAAGTCTTCTTTGAAATATTCTTCTCTTTTTATTTTGCAGGGAGATGGAAGAATATCAGTGCAGTATATAACCGAGGAGTGTCTTTCAAAGCTGGATACTAAACAGCAGACAAATACTTTGCTAAACATGGTTTGGAGAGACTCAGCGAGTGAAGAGGTCTTCACTTTGATGGCTTCAATTTGCCACACATTAATGGTGCAGCACCGGATGATGGTGCCAAAAGTCAGGCAAGTGTAAAAGATTTGCACATTCATAAACTTAAACCTACTTCTCTTGGGATGATTCATGTGTGCCTCTGTTATTTCAACAACCCAAAGTACTCCAGATGTTTTAAACTACGGTCTGTGATAATCCTTGTCAATAGGATATAATAAGGGGTTGTAGTCCAGAACATCTTGAAAGTGTCATATTCAGGAAGGTAGCCTGTTGCATTAGTCCCATCTTATTGTTAGCTGAAGTGTTGGACTAAATCATCATTATGTTCATTGACTTGAAAGATGTAACCTCTAATTTCCAGTGCATTATTATCTGGGACAGTGCAGTATTATTTGGGTTTTGAACTCTTGATAAATGGTGGTCATGGCAGCTTTGATATGCTTATAAGAGTATTTTCTGTTCATTTCTTCTTCTCCTGTCCTCTTTCTTTGTAAACTTATGTACTTATTGAGAAAACGCTAAAGAAATGTTGCGATGATCTGTAAATGTTTGAAAGCTAAGAGCCAGAGAGCTCCTCCACTGCTATATCATTTTTGTTCAGGATGGACAAAGTGTGACCCTCCAGACATTGGGTTACAGCTGGTAATCAGCCTTAGCAGCCTTGTCAGCTTAGACAAATGTGCAGAATTATGTGAGTTATAGTCTGACAACATCTGGAGGACTGCATTTTGCCAATCCTGTTTTAGATTATAGAATGTTTTAGTGTATTATTGGCTAATGTTATAAAGCAGGCACATAATGGGTTGTTTGCTGTTGAGTGGCTTGTTTAAATCAATGATAAAAATACAGTGCCATAAATTCCTGGAAATTGCGAGTTACAACGTCTTTATTATCATATAGACATTTGAAATATTTCACATACGATCCCCATAACCACACAGCTAATTTTGTGAAGCCGAAAAGACATTAGATCCCTCAAACAGCAGCCTCACTTATGTTCTTGGGGGAAATTTCAAAAATAGTTTTAGTATCGTTTAGTATTGCAGTGGAGGTGCCACCTAGTTAGAAGGAAAAAAGTATAAAATACACATCTTCATAATTAAGAGGTTGCCTGTGTATGAGTGATATTGACAGATTAATGTAAATGTGACTGTCCAGTAAACAGTGGAAAATATACCAAATAGGTGCAAAGATTAGGGAGGTTGTATTCATGTTTCTTCAGAAATAAATGGTGTGTTTTGAACATATCAAAACTGGTAAATGGAGGAATGAGGAACAGAAAGTTAACTGGAGATACCCCTGGTATTTCTGGAATGCTGTAAACACAGTTAGTTCTAACTGCTTTGTAAACAGTGGTACAGAAAACTAATTTTCTTTAGTCTACTGATGTTTATAGCTGTTTAAGGAAGTGAGATGTCAGTGAAGCTGTGATCACTTGATTAGGGTAATTAGTTCTTTGTCAAGTAATTGCATTAGAGCAGGATGTGAGATCTGGAGATCATAGCAAAAACTGAATTAGTGTACCTCCTTTTATTGCAACTGGTCTCTTGCTTTGAATAGTAATTACAGGATTTCTATGCACCATTGCTCTGACTTGTGTTTTATTGGTGAACTGTGTAGAAAAGGTGTGTAATTAGTGTAGTCTCCATAGCCTTAATTGTGCAGCTATGGTATGTGTTTCCTTCAAAGAACCCTGCTTAAATTTCTAGAGAGAGAATGAGAATGCCAATGCCAATATATGAGATCAGTGCATTAAATTAAATTTCTTGTGAGGAAGCTGCTGTATCGGGATAGTATCTCCACGTGAGTAAGAACCTTTTGGGCATTCTGGAACTGAGTACAGCAGCCTCCCACTAAATTAGTCTAATTTAGTGCACACGTCACTGAAGGTGCGGTGCATTCCCTCCCCCCACCCCCAGCCTGACCGGTTGTCTCACAAGCTGGTGTGCACTGGCCAGGTCATTTGCCTGGGGTGGCTTTCCACTGGGGTGGGCTTTCCTGCCCTGCCTCCTCTGGCAGCCGGCCACTCAAATGAGGAGGCCAGATGGGGATTCTTGCTGTACACCGTTAAGTGGCTGGCTGCTGGATGAGGCGGGGAAGGGAAGCCCAAACTCCTGCCTGGAGTGGACAGCTGCCCCAGGAGGATGACATGGACAGTGTGCACCGGCTTGTGAGTGGGGCAGCTGGCCAAGGGGGTTGGGGGAGGGAACATGTGGCACCTGTGGCACCGCGTGTCTAAATTTAGACAAACTGGGCTGAATCGATTCATGCCCATGGCTACTTCCAAGCATTGTCAAGGGTGGATGTAGTTCACTGGATCAGAGCATCTGGGTAGAGAGCCAGAGTTGAGAATTGAGGTCCACAGTGTGTTCCTGGGAGAGGGGAACTGAGATAATCCAAAACATGTGTGGCTGATATAGTTATGTGACTTGCAACTTGTTTAGTCCTGGGCACTGTTCCAGAGTGTCACTGTAAGAAGGGACTGGTAAAATGCTTCAGAGTAGTTTAGCCAAGGAAACCTAATGAGAGTTGCCCAGAATTAGAAATGACTTGATGGCACATCTTTTATTTTCCCATAGCCATTCAGCAGCGTTGGCTTCTTCTGTCAAATGCTGTACCTTTTTGAGAGTGAATGTTACTATGTCTCTGCTTTAATTGTCCTTATTGAGGAACTTTGTGTCGCACCTCTGTGGCTAAATACTGTACTGAAATTTGCATCTCTGTCATTGCACTTCTGAAAAATATCAGTCTAGCTGATTACTGATAATACGCTTGCTACTTTTTTCTTATAAGAAAACTCATTGTGTCACCCTGAATAGATGAGAATTTGGAATGTTGACATTATAGCCATAAAGAATCAATGTGCCTATATTTAGTAAAGATATTATAGGTATCTCTGGAGTGCACTTGATGTAAAATGATCTTCACAGTGAAAGTAACATTTCCATATGAGTTTAATATGACTCTTTGGACATTTAAAAAACCCTTATTGATAAAATATCCATGTATCAGTGTTAAAATTTTTAAGTGCATTTTCCTTGTTGGTGCAAGGAGGACACTCTAGAGAGGGAATTGTAAGGAAAGCAACATTCATTTACAGTTGCATGCTAGTGGAGGTCTGCCACTCTCTTAATCTCATGTAATTGCAGTGGCATCTGTTACCTTCTACCTGTGGCACCTTCCAGTTTAAAGGAATTGTCAAAATACGCAGCCCCGCTGTAGTGACCTTTCTCCAACCGTATGAGCTTGTCTCATTCTATTGTATTCTCTTCATTAACTTAAATGGTCTCAGTGGGAAACTGGGCCCAATTTATGACCTAGACTGAAAATCTTGCCTTCAGCTAATTAACTTATAGCAGTGCTTCAGCTAAATAAAGCTTAATGGGTCATTTAATCTCCCCCATTGTACCAGGAAGAATTTGGCAAAAAAAGCATCTGCCAAAAATATATAAATCAGGTACCCTTGTGAACAGTGATGTGCCTGCTTGGTTCTGTATAAAGAGACTGAGCTACAGGATCTTTTGACTTGACAAAAAACGTAAAATAAAAACAGAAAAACCATGACAAGCCTTATTGAAGCCCTTAGAGTTAAAACTGCGGTGATTTCTTCCTCCATTCCATTAATATTTTTAAATTTTTAAATGTTTTCATTCTGCCACTAAGTCTTAAAACTCTACAGATTAAAGCATTAGATATATTAAAATAACAAGAATTAAAAGGAAATACTAGAACAGTAACCAGTGATTAAAAAAAAAATTTAATCACACCTGTAAGAAGAGAAAATAAGCATGGTCTAGTTATAACTACTAAACAGTGTAGTTTAGTAGACAGAGTGACAGATAAGGATTCTGGAGAACAGGGTTGGAAATCCCCACTTGGCCATGGAAAATGATTGGGGGAGTGGAACTGGTAAAACCACTTCCTAAATATCTCACTTAGGGTCGCTATCAGTCAGTTCTGACTTGTTGGCATCGAGCACATATTCAGTTGTAACTTAAATGCCTAGATGACAGAAGCTTGACAAATTCTGAGGGTAGAAGATTTCAAGCATCAGTACTTGCAAAGTAAAAGTAATGCAAGCTGCAAAGTAATAATTACAAATGTATGATCACGGACAGGATAGATGCTTCAGTTGGAGATAAAGCAAGTCAGGCCTCATGGCACCGTGATTAAACTGCAGTATTGCAATCAAGCCTCTGCTCACAACCTGAGTTCAATCCTGACAAGCTCAGGTGGTTGGTTTAAGATTGACTCAGCCTTCCCTCCTCCTGAGGATGGTTAATTGAGTACTCAGCCTGCTGGGGGATGGAGGCAATGGGTAGCCTGCATAATTAAATTGTAAACCTCTCAGAGAGTGCTTTAAGCACCATTTTGCTTTTGTGTTGGGAGAGATGTACTTTGTTATTACACGCAAATAAATAGATTTAAAGTAACATGAAAAGTTATGCTTACAAATTTATATGTAATTGGGGAGTAGTAACTGGAAAATTTTGCGACACGCATCCCTCCTTTATAATTATTTCCAAAAGTGAGGAGGTAGATTATATGGTTTTCAGAAGAGTTTAATTTTGTTGGATTTAAAAAAAAAACTTTGAATTGTATCCTTGGAGATAAAAGTTGTAGCACGAGATGTTTGCTGTGAATCTTGATGCTTCTTCTTTTCATAGTGATAACAATATACATAGCATTAGAAATTCAAGGACTTTGGATTTACAGTTTATCATGACCCCCATGATGAGTTAATAATGTTCAGGTGTGTGATGTGTAGGGCCTTAGTTCAGTTTTCCAGTGAAAATATTCTTGGACATTTCATATGTGTTTTATGGATTCCTAGGGAATGTACACAGAGTATGTGAGTAAGAAAGAATTTATAAACAGAAGATTAACAATTTTGAAAAGTTAGAAAATGTGGTCTACATCTTTCTATATTACCTTAATCTTAATACAATTTTTTACTTAGTAGTTGACAGTTTGATATGTAACTGCATGATATTGTGGAAGAGCACGCTAATGGTTGGAAGAACAGGATGACTAAGCAGATCACTCTGATTACTTTTGTCTCTTATTATTTTATATCTCCGTGTTTTTATTCTGATTTTATTTGATTATATTTGTATTTTAAACAATTGTGACGGATTTTAGCTAATACAATACACTTAAACTTGGCTATAGATTACTTTTGGTATGATAAATAAGCACTAGCATCCTTCAAAGGCACTAGTGTTGCTAGAATATGTCTTTATCAATGTTGTATTGGGAAAGATAGTGAAAAAAATTTAAGATACCTTTGTATAATGTTTTTCTCCCTATCTTTTATTTTAGACTTTTGTACAGCTTAGCTTTTAATGCCAGGTTCCTGAGGCATCTTTGGTATTTAATATCTTCAATGACAACGCGAATGATTACTGGGTATGTAGTACTCTTGTTAAAAATCTAATCAGATATTAAGCAGCATGTACTGTAGAGCAGAGGTCCCCAACCCCCAGTCTGCGACCCAGTGCCGGTCCGTGGCCTGAGCTGGACTGGGCCACAAAGACAGACCTCCCCCACACGCACTCCCCCCTGCACAGCCTGTTTGCGCCTGCACACGAGCGCGCCTGCACAAGCGCTGTGCCGCCCTATGCGCATGAGCATGTATGCACCCGCATAAGCGCCCCTGCTCCTTTGCGCATGCGCACGAGCACCGCCTTCCCCAGCCGGTCCATGGGGCTGAAAAGGTTGGGGACCACTGCTGTAGAGGTTGAAATAATACTATGAGACTGAAAGAGAGAAGTTCTAAAATCACACTAGGCTATGTTAGGTGATTACAGTATGTCTAATTTTTACTGGGGCTGCAACATTTAATGTTTTTAAAAGAACAGATTTTCTTTGCTTAGAAGGTGCCTGTTAATAGATTCATTTTAAAATTAATTTTAATGGAAGTACTTATGCAAGCTCAAGGTGGCAAGTATTCCTAAGTATTTCTTATATGAGAGAAAAGAGGGAATGTCTCTTTTAAAGCAATGTATGCTGTAATATATGTGTGGAGAGGTGGATCATGGACAGAACAATGGGTACACCTCTTCTCAAAACTGAACAAGGGGAGAGACTCACCCCACTTCAGTTTGGAGCTACTTGGACATATGGGTTATCTGAAAATAGTGTTTTTTGCCCTCCTATTTTGTGAGTATGTGCCTGAAATCCGGGAGTACTGTAAATTGCAACTAGAATAGGGGATTTGGTGGGTGAACTCCTCATAAGGTCCATTGATTCAATGGGCCTGCTCTACTTGCAGCTTCCTACTGGATTTTGGCCTGTGTGTTTGCATGCACACAGTTCATTATGTTAACTGTGTGAAGCTCATTTGGGGGCCCTTGGGGAGCAGTATCTGCCCAGCTGTCCTCCCTTTCTTACTTTTTTTTCCTGAGGAGGTACGCTTCCTCAGCGGTGCTAGTGACTGAATGGAGTAATTGCAGTTGCTACTTAGATGTGATTGTTTCTGGCTGATAGTTGGGCATAAGTTGTTTTTATTATTATTATTATTATTGTTGTTGTTGTTGTTGTTATTCATCATCATCATCGTCATCATCATCATCTATAAAATATGATACTTTGTTATATGTTGTAAATCAGTATGTCTTTTTAAATTCTGTAAATCCAGCAGGACTTTATATTAAACTGATGGTTATAGAGTTGGTTGTTTTCATTGTGTGTAGTTAGTTTGTTTTTGTTTCTTTTAGCTTAGATGGAATGTTGGTCATGTTTATTTTTGAGTAGAAGTCTGTCGATTAGCAAACTAGACATGATTATCTTTTTGGTACATTTGTGTATTGATGGTGCAAAGGGGGGGACAGGAAGCAACAGTTAGAACTGGATATGGAACAACTGACTGGTTCAAAATTGGGAAAGGAGTGTGACAAGGCTGTATATTGTCCCCCGGCTTATGTAACTTGTATGCAGAATACATCATGCGGAAGGCTGGACTGGAGGAATCCCAAGCCGGAATTAAGATTGCCGGAAGAAATATCAACAA